CACCCCACCCCCCATCCCCCGGGGCAGCTCCTAACAGGACTTTCTTGGTCAGATTTCAGGTACTCGGACTCCACCTTTACCTTCACGTACGTCGGTGGCCCCAAAAGGTATGTAAGCGTCTCCAGTTGCTTCATTTCCTGTTCACATGCCTGCGTTTCCTTTGTTCTCACTGTTCCGTGTCTGGGATTTTTTTCTTTCTTTCTTTTTTTGCTCTTGTTGTCCTCTAACCACATCCCAAGTCCGAGGTCCTGGCTCTAAATGGCAAAGGGGAAGTGGACGTGTGATGCCGGCGCTGGAAGCGCAGGCCGCAGCCGGAGCAGCACCAGCCGGCCTGGCACGTTCCAGCGGCTCTTGCAGCGGCTGGCTCCCGGGGTGTCTGGGGGTTGATGCAGCCAACCGGGTGCAGCACTGGCATCCTGGGTGGGAAGTGAAGTGGGTCCGAGACCCGGGATGGCACGCAGTAGTGGGGGCCCAGCCCATGGTTTTCCTGGCGAGCTGCTTGCTGCTCCATGTTCCCGTGTTGACGACCGTGGACATCAGCACGCAGCCTGCCAGTTCTCCATACTCTCTCCTGTGTGTGCGTGTGTGTGTGTGTGTGTGTGTGTGTGTGTGTGTGTGGGCTTTGAGGAGTGGAGCTCTGGTTTCCACACTTGGCTGGAGGAAAGCGTTTGGCAGGTGCATGTCGCTGGAGCGTATCATCACTTCTTCCTTGAGGGGGAAGGATGGCACATGCATGTAGGAACCCTGAATTGTGCACAGTACGAAAGCAGGCGAAATCCAACTTTGTATTTCGGAGGTGGAGTTAGCATGAGAGGTAGCCGTGGGGACGTGCCTGGCGGTCCTCACTTGTTAAGTTGGGATTTTCTCCCCGTAGCCCCTGGGGGACATGGTGGCTTCACAGAGCAGGGGCCATCTAGGGAAGCTGTCAGAGATGCCGCCTGGCTCTGAGGACTTGACATTCAGTAGCACCTGATCACGTTTAAAATGTCTCTTAGCTGATGGAAACGTATGGACGCATTCATTGCAGAAGAGGCTTTCTTCTGTACGTGGTGTTAGGTGGCTCAGGAGGCGGCGTAGGAAATAAAGAGAGTCCAGTTAATCAGAAAAGAAAGGAAAGGCTTTATTCTGCGTCCCCGGGCGGCCCACGGACCCCAAAGACAGGGCACGTGGATCCGCACCAACAGGGAGGGGGGCGCTTTTTTTATACAGCTGTTCAGTGAGGGCGGGGGAGCATGAGCTGTGGGAGTTCCACCGTGGAGATCGTCATGGTTTCCAGGTGTTGTCATCTGCCTGGTAGCTGACCTGTTAGGAATTCCAGGGCGGGACGGGTATCTGCGTCACCATCTACCTGGTGCCCTGGCCTGTTAGGGATTCTAGGAAGGGCCCAGGATCTACGTCACCATCTGCCTGGCGGAGGCATGCATCAGCTCCTGGACCCCCTTTCGACCTAACACATGGAGCTTTTAAAAGCTTGGAATTAATGTGAATCTTGAAGATGCTTGGGATCTGGGCTGCAATCTACATCTCAAGAAAGCTGTAGTGAGAACAGTGGTCAGGTCTCCCATATGTAGTTTGCCTAAGCCTCAGGATTGTGTTTTGTCTTTTCATTTTATTTTTTTTTTGGTCTCTCCCCCCCCCCCCCCCCCCCCCCCCCCATTTTTAAGTTGAATTTATTGAGGTGACATTGGTTAATGAAATCATACAGATTTCAGGTGTACAGTTCTATAATACAACATCTGCATATTGTGCTGTGTTCAGCATCCCAAGTGTTGATTTGATTTACTAGTTGAAAATATAACATATAATATTGGGAGAGAATAAAATCATAGTGCTTCTTAATTTGCCATCATCTTTGTAATTGTGAATAAAAAGAATAAATTAGAGAAGATTCAACTAAATTAACAATGCTCCTACACTTACTATCCAGAGATACGTTGGTGTATGACTAATATCTTCCTGAATATTTTTAAAGATATACTTTTATTGATTTCAGAGAGGAAGGGAGAGGGAAAGAGAAACATCAGTGATGAGAGAATCATTGACCAGCTGCCTCCTGCACACCCCACACTGGGGATCTAGCCCAAATCCCGGACTTGTGCCCTTGACCGGAATCGAACCCGGGACCCCTCAGTCCGCAGGCTGACGCTCTCTCCACTGAGCCAAACCAGCTAGGGCTTCCTGGATTGTTTTAACAGTTAAAATACAGGCATACCTCTGAGATATTGTGGGTTTGGCTCCAAATCACAAAAAATAAAGCGAATATCGCAATAAAGCGAATAACATGAATATTTTGGTTTTCCAGTGCAGATAAAAGTTATGTTTACACTCTACTGTAGTCTGTTAAGTGTGCAATTGCATTATGTCTAAAAACACCATGTATCTACCTTAATTAAAAAGCGACTCTATTGATAAAAAATGTTAACCGACTGACATCTGAGCTATCAGCGAGCCCTGAGGGTCTTCCCGTCAGTCTATGCCTAGTAAGACACAGTGTCTGTGAAGTGCAGTGACCTGAGGATGTCTGTGTGCTCTGCACTGAAAACTCCCCCCTGCGAGCAGTCAGCACCTGCTCCAGCGGTCTGTTGGGTAAAGCCCCGGGTAAGCTTTTCAACGCACTAGCTTTATTATTATTATTATTAATATTTTTTATTGTTGACAGTATTAGCTTTATTATTTTCAATTAGATGCCTCAGTTCTTTTGGCCTTAGTTTACTCATCTGTACAATGAGAGATGTACTGTCCAGTTGGTCTCTCTAAGACCTGGGAGTAGGTGCCGCAGAAAGAGTTTATCAGCAAATTACAGAACCGGTGTTCAGGAAACGGGGAGACGGCTGGCTGGGTGAATAATTAACTACTGGAGATACCATCAGTTCTCACTTGTAGGAGCTGGGGCCATGGTTGCTGTGGAAGGAAGAGGTGGTTCCTTTCTGTGTAATCCCACTGAGGGACAGTGTTTGCTTGTGCCCCTGAGCGTGTTTCTTAGACTCTCCGAGCCTCGGTTTGCACATCCCAAGGTGAGAACAGTAATACCACGAGCCTTCTGATTAGAGAAAAGGCCATGAACGCGGTCTTCCAGCTCACCTGCAGTCAGAGAAACACGCTTGTGGGCCAGGGTGCCAGGCCTGGTGACCTGATTGCTTGGTCTGCTCATAGCTCGTTCTGCAAAGCAGTCCTGTGTCCCAGGTGGTTCTAGTGGAGTCACAGGAGCCCCTTTCATGCCAGTCCCTCTAGGGGTTTGTGGCTAGGAGCAGAGAAGACCTTCCCCCCCCCCCCCCCCCCCCCAAAATTAAAAGTATAAAAAAATGTTGTTTTAACTACATTAGAACCTGATACTTATCATGTATTTCTCATTGCGACGTGTCAATGGAGCATTTAAAATTAAAATGACCTTGCTCTCTTTTGGTTTAATGTGCTTATCAACCAAAAATATTCAATTAATAGAGTCATTTTGGGTAAATTAGGCTTACTTCACCATTAAAGGAATTTTATGGAGAGATAAGACATGATTATCTTTAATTATATGTCACCATCATTTCATCTAAAACATTGTGGACGTATTTCAAGAATAATTTCCAAATCAAGTTATGCGTAGATAAAACTTAAAATACCATTTCCTTTCGGACACCCTCCCAGCATGAGTTCCCCTTTGTTCTAAAGAAGAGGGTTGATCTTCCATGTTCCCACTCAAAAAAAGTAACATTGAGCATTTTTTTTAACATGTGCTTTTTTTTGCGTGTTTCTGTGGATTAAGAGAAAATGCCAGGAGGCGACAGCGTCAGCCTGGCTGGTGGCCTGGCGCATTGGCCTTGCGTTTGGAGGGCAGCAGAGGGACACGGGGCCTGCTAATGTTTGTTACTCTGACTGTCGGTGAGGATGTGGGCGGGGGCAGACAGTCAGCTGGAAGACGGAGTTCATGGCCTTTTCTCTAATCGGAAGGCTCATGGAACTCCTATTCTCACCTCGGGATGTGCAAACCGAGGCTCGGAGAGTTTAAGAGACACGCTCAGATGACTCCGTTACATGACGGAGTGCCTCGTACCCCTGCTCTGTCCCGCCCGAGACCCGTGCTCCTTTCTGTACACGCGTGTTCTCAGGCTCTGAGCATGGAGCACTGGAACATCCAAAAATTAGGCCGAGGCCTACTTGAGAGAGAGGTCGTTTTGGTGTCTTTGATGGAGAAGCAATGAGAAAGGAAGTGTTAAATGTGAGGAACTTGGTTGTTAATGCCGTCTACATATGCCCGAGAACTTGTATCTGCTCGGCAAGACGAATCCATTTTAGCGATGGCCCATGTGGCCCCTCTGATTCCTGGTCTCCCCTTGGGGTAACTCCACAGCCGCCAGGGGTCGGGGCTGCCTCCCGATTTCAGGGCTGTGCCAACACCACAAACCAGGGGCCTCAGCGGCACACGATTTGAGAGTTTATTGCAAAAGTTGCTCCTTCCCTGGACTCAGTCCTGCTGGGATTGCCTGCCTCGTTCTTGGTCCCTTGTCATTGGCATGAAGACCACAACGTTAGGGGTTCTGGCCCTTCTTGTCACTGGCGGTCAGGCGTGCAGTAAGCGATGGAGGAAATCAGAGGGATCCAGAGGGCGGTGACAGCTGCTGAGGGGATGGGACATCTGGCTGGGTCTCGGGGCCAGTGCCTCACACAGACAGGAGAGCAAGGAGACCCCGGGGCCTGGCCCCGCCCCTGTGGAGGGCCTGATCAGCACGGAGGTTTTGTAAACACACAAACAGTAGTTGTTATTGTAAAAAGATTTAGAAAAATGGGGAAACCAAGAAGATGATTTCTCCATCTCCTGTTAATATATTAGGGTTTATTCTTTCAGAATTTTTATCTGTCTGTGTGCATAGGACAGTGGTCGGCAAACCGCGGCTCGCGAGCCACATGCGGCTCTTTGGCCCCTTGAGTGTGGCTCTTCCACAAAATACCACGTGCGGGCGCGCACGTACAGTGCGAAGTTGACTTAAAACTTTAAGTAAAGTTTATTAAGTTAATTTTAGGGAACGTTGTGGAGTGAAAGAAGATGTAGTGTCGAGGATTGAGAAAGGTATGTTGAGGTGGTTTGGACATATAGAGAGGATGAACGAAAGGAGATAGACGA